CAAGACAAGATGATGCAAATTAGTCTGAAAGCTCCTGTATTACAGGACAGGAGCTTAAGTGTTGTCTGTCCTCGGGGCTGGGAGTGCCAAATCCCAAGTGCCGGAAAGATCGACCCGTAGCCCCCCTTCCCTGTTGAGGGTGGGGTTGTACATTCTTTCATATATTGCCTCTTTAACACCCCGTTGGCACTCCCAGCCCCGAGGACAGACAACACTTAAGCTCCTGTCCTGTAATACAGGAGCTTTCAGACTAATTTGCATCATCTTGTCTTGACTTGTCTGACCTTTGTTCCTTTTTCGACTTCCAAAAAAATTTGTCTTCACTTTATTTGCATATCAATCAACAGGTTGTGTATATAAACCTGCTTTCCCCTCTGGTCTCTCAGTCACTGACGAAAGCTAGTGGATACTAGCTGAAACGTCTGACGTTTTCAAAATCATATCCAGTTGCTTGAGTAACTGTTTTTTGGCATATTCTATGCATTTCTTTACTAGAATATCGATGTGTGGTACCATTGTGAAAAAAGCATTTTATCGCTTGTAAGTTATATTTAGACAAAGAAAAGTGGGTAAGTCCCAATTCTATACCTAGTGTTGGAAGTTACAGTTCAGTCTTTATTTCATAATGATTTGTACCAACACAGATGAACTTTCATGCTAACGAAGTTAAAGAAAAGTTGTTTACAAGCGCGTCATCAATTCAGCGCCGTGTTTCAAGAGATAGATACCGGGAAACAAACTTTTCTTGTTTTTGAATATGTCTTTTACAAGTTCATCCTTGAATAGCCGACTGAAAATCAAACAGTTTGATGTCTGGTCCTTCGTTACGACACAAATCCGTGAGATTCTCAGCAGCGCGATCCATAAGTTTGGCTAGAATTTTAACTGCAACTAACAAAATATTGACCCCAAATCACCATTTTGCTAAAAAATTCTTGCGTGACGAAAGAAAAATATTGTGACTTTGTTATGTGCGGTCCGATCAAATATAGGGGGTTCGCAGGTCCTGCAGCGCTTCACGCCTCCGCCGACTTTCTTTTCTCGAGTATTCCCCTGCTGCCACCATGAACATATCAGTACGTGAACCAGGCTTTTAGCTAGGGGGTGTCCAGGGTGTCTTTTGGACGCCCTGTACTGAAAATAATAAGAAATTGGACGCCCTACTTTTTGGTAGGACACCCTAAAGACACCCTACTTTTCCCACTCCCAACCCCTGCCATGCACACATGCCTCCCTTCAGCCTTACTATAAATACAAAAATGATGGTTTACTGAAGGAAAAAACTCAAATTTACACCTGAAAATGCAGAAAGTAGTGTTTGAGAGCATTATGAATTTCAAAAAAGCCCCCCTAAAATCTTGCACTCAGCA